GAGGCTACTGGGGGTGAGAGTAAGGATGGGATAAGTATTTTTCTTTGATATCATGTATTTAATGGGTACAGACCCATTCTTCATTCTTGGGATAATGAAAAAAATTCTAGAAACAGCAGTGGGAGTTGTATAATGTTGCGAATATGCTTAATGCCATTGTGTCATAGATGTAAAAATGGTTGACGGGGTAAAGTTTGTTGTGTAGTTTCATTGCAGTAAATAAATAGGAAGTGTTTGAGAGTTATGACAATCATGTTATAGCAGAAAGAATAATTCAGGTAGCTGTTTCCCTCAGTGAAGTCTTTAATTTGATTTTAAAAATGAAGGTCAGGGCTGGGGATTTATTTTGTTTTGTTTTGTTTTTTTAGTACTGGGGATCGAACTCAGGTTCTTGCACTTGCAAAGCAGGCACCGGAACCACTGAGCTAGATCCCCAGCCAACGGCTGAGTTCAAACTGAGTTCAAACCCTGGAACCAGATAAAGAACAGAACAAAACAAAAAATAAGTAAAACAAAGAACCAAATAAACCGACACACACATAAAAAATGAAGGTCTAGGGGACTTGGGAAGTTTGGAAAAAGTCAGATTCCAAACTAACATGAGGGTAGAATTTGTACCCTGTCCTTGCTATGTATGAGTCATGACCATAATGCTCTCCTTGTGGAGAATTCTCTGTTCCTCAGGGATGGTGCTCACATGGCTCAAGAGAGGAGGATATAAAGGCTGTTATGTTCCTCTCTGGGGGGCCATATATGCACCCTAGTTCCAGCTTCTTTCCAAGGTTAAGTGGAAGGATGAGGAAGAATTCTGGCTTGAGGGTGTACCTCAGTGGTAGAGTGCTTACCCAGCATGTTCCATGCCCTGGGTTTGGTCCTCAGAGCTGCGAAACAGAAAGACACAGATGCTTAAGAATTCTGCTTTGCCTTTACCAAGGTTCTACTATAATCAGGGAATCATAAACCCTAAGAACTGTGGGCTCTAGTCTTTACTCTGATGTTGTCTTGGTTAACAAAACTTCCCAACTAGTCAGAGTCTTATGCAGTGGTTTTCAGGAAATCCTCAAGTAAAGATATAGTCAGTGTTTGTTAACATTGAAAGTGTGTGAACAAAAAGACTTAGAACTGATGTTTGCTTATTCAATTAAATGCAGCTCCTTATGCTCAAGTGAGGCTATTGTTGCTCTTGTAGCCAGTTTCTGCAGCTTAGGAAAAAGTATTGATCATTTAAAGAAGCCACGGTGCTTCTTTGTGCCTTGACTCTCTCCTTCCCACATGAACACCCCAAGGAAGGGTATGTGACCCATTCATACATTAAACTAGCAAACTTACATGGGCCTTGGATGCTAGCAACTGCTTAAGCTGTTGAGAATGGTGAACCTGTAAAAGTTCATATACTTATTTAAAAAGACACAAGCTCTCACTCATACGTTGTCAATAGAATGGTAAATTGGCACAATTTTCTTTGGAGGAGATGTTGGCATAAGTATCCAAAGTCACAAAAATGTCCTTTGACCCAGTAAATGATTTCTTTTCGGTACTGGGGATCGAACTCAGGACCTTGTGCTTGCGAAGCAGGCACAGCACCACTGAGCTGCATCCCTGGCATTTCTGGGAACTTATTCAAAACAAATAAATTTTAAAAAGATATAAACTGTGTTGATATAAAAGGTGCCTAACAGCACTCTTCATAATGATAAAATCCAGAAAAAAAACCCATAAATGCTAAATAATAAAGGAATATTTAAGTAGTTTATGGATTTTCAACTACATAGAATATTACACAGCTATGAAAAACAATAACCATACCATGTACCGAAAACAAAGGTGTTTGTTTATTTTATTTTTTTTTCAGTGCTGGGATCGAACCCAGGGCTTCCTGAATGCTAGGCAAAGGCTCAACCACTGAGTTACACCCCATCCCCGGGAAGGTGTTTGTAACCATTCAAAATCATCAAGGCATTTTGTAGCACCCACCAGTTATGCTCCCCAGAAGAAACAGTGAATTCATTTTTTTTTTAAATGTGCAGAGGGTTGAACCCAGGGCCTTGTGCATGCTAGGCAAGTGTTGTCCCAGTAAGCTATAGTCACAGTCTGAACAAATTCTAAGGTAAGTGATGATGGTGAGACATCACTTTATATCATAGATATAAAAAACTGCAAAGATGACATTGGGAAAAGTCAGACTTGTAGAAATCTTTCTAAATTTCCAGGTGGTGTTCAGAGAAGAGACAGGATACACTGTGAGCACTGATGACTGACGCTAACCCTATTCTACACACAGGGCAGCCAGCTAGCTACCTTTGGAGGGCTCTGGATTTGCTTAAAGGCTCGGAGCTATTCTCCAGGGCATTTAACGAGCACAGTAAACAGCCACTGTCTTGCAGGGAGAATCCCTTGGGGACTGGACAGTTATTTGGGAATAAGATTTAAAATTCACAAAAGTCCAGACCTGGCTGCCTCAACCCCCTGCACTGGCAGTGGTCAAAACACCCGTAAGTTGAGGGAAGGTCCCACATGGTCGCAGTGAATGCTACCTTTTTAACTTGGTGAGGCCACCTAAGGATGGCAAAAAGAAAGACACCAGAAAGTCAGCTAAGAAAGAGAAAAGGTGGGCATGGTGCTGCATGCTTGTAATCCCACACTCTGGGGGTTGGATATAGCATGATCACAAGTTGGGGCCCACCTGGGCAATTAAGTGACTTAGTGAGACCCTGTCTCAAAATACAAAATGAAAAAGGGATGAAGGTGTAGAGGGCCAGACCAAAAAGAAGTGATCCAAAGGCAAAGTTTGTGACAAGCTCAATAACTTAGTCTTGTTTCAAAAAGCTACTTGTGGGTGCATACTCATAATCCCTGCACTCGGGAGGCTGAGGCTGGAGGATTGGCATGAGTTCGAGGCCAGCTTGGGCTACGTGAGTTCAAGGTCAGCCATAGTGACACCCTGTCTCAAAACAAACACCCAAAAGGCTACTTGTGACAATCTCAACTGTAAGGGAGTTCCCAACAATGAGTTTCTAAGCCCAGATGTTGGGGAAGATGCACGAACAGGTCCAACCAATTTTACATTTGGAAAAATAAAATTTTATCAAGCTAAAGGAGATACACATCTTTCGTGTCTGCCTTCTGTGCAGGTAGTTGGTACTTACAGTTAAACAAAGAATTATGTATCCCTTAACGTCAAGGTGCCTATTCAACCCATTGATGTTGTTCACAGAATGTCGGGGTTCAGGAGGCCCTGAGGCCATATCAGGCTTCTGTGGCTACACTTTCGCTTAGTCCCTCAACACTGGGAACCAAGTAAGAGCATTAAGGCAGAGTATTAGCCTGTTCCCCACTTTTCCAAGAGCAGGAAAATAGGGAAATATTTGAATTTGAGTGGGATATCTTATTAGTTTGCACAGCACGGGAGAGGGAGAATTTATGGGGGCATGGATTATCAGGACCAATACGTTAAGCAGAACGTCAACCTGCAGACCTGAAAGCTGGGTTTGCCAGGATCCACCCCACTGAGTGAAGCACACTCATATGAATGTCTATAGGCACACACAGGCTGCTGTTCCGAGGCCATCAAAACTTTAGGTTTGACAAATATATATATATATATATATCCCCCACCCCAGAGAGTCTCTCTATATAGCCGAGGTGGGCCTTTAACTCACTATGAAGCCTCCGCTGGCCCTGAACTCAATGCAATCCTCTTGCCTCAGTCTCCCGAGTGCTGGGATGTCAGCCGTGCACTACCACACCCGGCTGACAATGGCGTTTTTTTTTCTTCAGAGTAAGGGCTCGGAGAAAGGACACATGATGTATCCCGAACTTGAGAACAAGGTGTAGAGGCTGTGACAAGAAAACCCAAGTTTCCAGGGGACACAGCTGAGCGGCAGAGCAATTCTGTACCATGGGCAACCTCTGGGTTTAATTCCTAGTACCGAGGTGGGGGAGTTAGGAGAAGGAGAAGAAAAGAAAGAAAAAGAAACCCCAAGTAGCATGTAGGGAAATAAGGAAATTTTAGAAAAGAATGTGGCTGTTCAGGAGTCTGTGAGTTGTTCTCACACGAGGCCATGCCTTAATTGCTGTACTAGGAAATGGGGGCGTTACAAATGCCTATCTGTTTAACACTAAGTACCCAAATATTTAACAACCCCATATAGTGCAGCCCCAGGAAGAAGCCCTGTCCCACTGTACGCAGGACGATAGGCTGAAAGTCAGCTAGCTGCTCTGTGTGGGAAATTTGTGTTCCGGATAGAGAATTAAAAGGCCGCGTGGGGGTGGTAACGGTGAAGCCGGAGCTCCAAAAGCGAACATGCCGTAGTCAGTGAGATTGAAATCATGTGATTTGGGAAAGCTTTTCAGGGTAGAAAGCTGCCTGCCCATGCACCGTTACAGGAAGCTGAGTGACGGAGCCCACGAAAGATCAGGTGTTGCACGGTTTTATGATTGAACAGAAAGAGCGTGAAGCAAAGGGTGCGCTGTGGCTTTAGCACTGCACTGCACAGGCCAATGACGGAGGGGCACTAAATCCTTGCTGTTCCTGTCCCCAGGGCACCCTTTTGTGAACAACATGAGCTATTTGCGATGGAGAAACCATACAGAGTGCTTTTAGTTCCCCTTAAAAAATACCTCAACCTGCCTTGGAGAGAATACGGTGTCCTGCCAGGGTCATTCCAACAGACTCTTGGGGAGCGTGGCCTTGAGTTTGAGAGGGAATCAGGTGCCCTCTGGATGGATGGATGAGGCTATGTGTGTATTCCGTGGATTTATAGATTTATCTTGGGTACTGTTTGGCTGGATAATTGGAACAGGCACCCAGACTCTTCCTATCATGGGTCCTGTCCCTCAGAGAACCATAGCTGAAAGTAGACCAGGTGACCTGTTTGCAGGTCCTTCAACTGGGTCTGAGTAGCCGCCCCCGGCTTGTTCCTTCCTCCTCGTCCTCTTCTCATCAACCTGCAAGCTCATTGTGGCCAACACTCACTTGAGACTGGCTGAGGAGAGAGAGGAACTTACACTTAGAAAGAAGATTGCTTTGTACTTTATTTACAACAGAATGTAAGAAAAAGTAAGTTATGAACAATAATAAATAACTGGGGGAGGAGGAACGAGACAGTACAGCCATAAAATGACACAGAAGTATGGGGTACGTGAGGATCAACTCCAGCTCGCTCCACTATCGCCTGTAACACTGCGCGGTCTAACACTCGGTGCTTCAGCAGTGGCAGTGGTGTCTGGACTACTTTAACCAATCAGGATCCCAGCTCCAAACGTAAACACTAAAAGTTACACTCGAAGCTACCCATCGGTGACATAGGGATAAGATCAATTCAAAGAACCTCTTGTCTTCTTGGAGATACAGAGAAACCGAAGAGAGACTGGCAATCAACAGGCAGGACTTTAGCTGAAAGCAAAATTCTAAAGCGCCGGTTAACGTCCTAACAGCCGGACAATTAATAACGGCATCGGAGAAATTCTCAACGTGGTCACATTCTTATTGCACTAACTCCTACAAAGCTTAAACACTTACATTTCAAACGCTAACAGATTGTTTTGAAAGTAGAACAGGGAAGAGCCAACACGTTTTGCCTCAGCATGCCAACAGTGGTACCGTGTGACACTTCGGCAGGAATGAACAGTAGCAAGTAGTTTATTTACGATCAATTACAGTTACAGTCATTGGACAGGATTTTTCCCCCTCAATTTTAACATGGCTCAGATGGCAGATTGTCACCTGGCCTATTGAGCCAAATGATCAGAAGTACTAAAATCGCTTAGACAGTTCTCCATTGGATTATCTCATTACACACTTTATGTGGAGTCAAGCATACTCTGGGCCCTCTCAAAAATAAAATTCCTGTGGACCTAGGCCAGCCAGTAACATTACTTTGTTGTCTCTGAGCCATGGTGGCATACTAAAGAAAGTAGAATCATTTTTCATTTTGCTTTGCTGAGGATCAAACCCAGGCCACACGCGAGGCAAGCCCTCTACCACTGAGCTGTATCCCCAGTCTAGAAAGCAAGTAGAATTTAGAAATACAAATAAACACATTCACCCTGAAACTTGCACTGAAAAATGATTCATCAAGATGTGTCAGAGTCTATTCTCTTAGTTCACTGTTTATTACAGTGCCTTAAAATAAAACCACATAATTACTTTTACTTTGGGGGGGCACTATTGGGTTTTTAAGTATCTTCATTCCATAGCCTCAACTACACTCCTTATCTTCACAATCTGGAACATGGCTAATACACATCTCTACATAAATTAAGACTACTTTTCCACATTAGATGCAAAACTGTAACAGAAGGTTGTATAAATTAGGTCACCAGTAAACTTAGTAGGCTTCAGTTACAATGGTGGCAACTGAAAATGTCACGGCCTCTTTCGCTGTTATCTTCTTTTCCTTTGCTTTATTTTACTACAGTTCAAAATGAAATGATCTTTACAGGTGATTTCTGACAAAGTTTACGCAGTAGAAATATTGAGACCTTCTTATCCCAGAAAAAGCACAGCCAAAACAAGAATGCTGTACTACAGCCAACAAAAAGCACAGGGACATTTCCTATTTGAAATCCACCCAAAGTAATGGAGCTTATTATGGTCATTTCGATGGTTTCTGCTAACATCAGAGATGAAGAGGGATGGACGTATGTATTAGCCTATGGATTATCTATTTTAATTTGGCTACCAGATACTTAAAACTTGTGGCGTGTGACTTGCTACACTATATTTATATATATACAGGTATAATACAATTTTGGTGAACAAAGCTGAAGGTTTCCACATTGCAGACAGAGGCACTGAGTTAAGGATTCTATTTTTCCTCAAACATGCTTAGCAAATTCAAGTTTCTGCTTTGTTTTCTTTTAAATTTCCATCATGCAACCATTTAATTTCCATCCTTATAAGAATTATTAATGTTATATATACACACTCATTGCAGGCTTGTATCCCACAATAACAAATTCACGTATGGAGAAAGTGAAATGATAGCTGGAAACTAAGATTTATAATACATTGAAGTCGTTTATGCCTTGTGATGACTAGATTAAATATTCAAAGCAACTAAAGGAAAACCTGCAACGCCCCTCCCCCTTGTAATGCTCACGAACCACATGTAAACAGAACAACTAGACATACTTTAAGAGCACATATTTGTTGGTTAAGAATCACACTATCGTGGGTAGCTTTGCAATTGCTGTCTGTGGTATTATACTGGCTATAAAAGAAATAAAACTCACAAAAGGAAATCAGAAATTAGCTTTCTAAAACATATCAGATTGTTGACCTTGAAAGCAAAAACTACTTTATGAAAAAGGAAAATAGCAATGGTATTCATGGAAAAACCAGGTGCCAGATATGACAACCTGCACAAAAGAAATTTATTCTATGTGAAAATAATGATCCCATCCCTACCCTGATTTCAGCTTGGAAATGGTAAGCAATTACGTATACCATCCACGTTTTCTGCAAGGAGAATTTTGCTTTCTAAAGCCAAACATTCCCAATAAGTACTGGTGCGTGGAGAGGGAGCCATTGAGAAGTTCAAGGGGGCTGATAAAAGACTAGGTTTCCTCACAAGCAAAATTCATGCTTCCATACCATGCAAAGAAGGTGTCTTACTACGATACTATCATTCTTAAGTATTAGGTGTATGGTTGATCTAAGCTAAATGCAACCGGTTTCCTTTGAGTACAGGGTCTATTTTTCTTAAGCTAAATGTCAATCTATAGACAAATGATCGAGACACTTGAACACTTTGGTGCTGGGCTCACAGGGCCAGCGCCTGCACCTTGAAGAGTGTTTCGACCTGAATGACTACACAGAGTGCTGAGCACTGGGAAGGGGGAACAGGCAGGGTCCACTGGCTGGAGAGGCTCTGAGGGTAGGAGAGGCTGCTCCTTGGTTCGTTTGGTTTCCTTTGGAATCTGTGTTTTGGGAAGGTCCATTTCCTGAGGTTGGAGGTTATGGCCAGAAAGGCGAGCTAGGTAGGGCATGGGCCTCAGAGATGCCCGATTATCTTGTTCTCCTCCTCTCTGGGAGGACAAATGTCAGTGTTGAGATTCTGCTTGCTCTCCCTCGTGGTTTAAAGGCAGTGAGGTGCAATCGTGACAGACTGCTCTCTTTAGACCAAAGGAGAGCTCTCTTCTCTGTCACTTTGATAAAAGATCTTACCTTCTGTCAACCTTGATTCTAATCTTGCAGAAATGAAAGCAAGACAGAGGGACATTTGTTATTTAACACCCCCCCCCCCAAACAGGAGTCAGAAATTCTCATTCTCTTCCTCCACTTGGCAGTATTTATTTGATTTACACATTATTCTCAATATTCTTTCCTCCCTCTCTCTTTCTTTTCTTTGTGTGCAATGCTGGGGATTGAACCCAGGGCCTTAAACATGCTGGACAAATGCTCTGCTACTGAGCTACAACTATTTGGATTTCAAGGAAGAAGCAAGAGAATGGCAGTCTTTTCTAAGATCTGGGGTAGGCAATCCACCCCAGGGAAGTCTGGATGTCACTAAGAGTAAAATCAGGAGGGAATCGGAGACAATTCTGTTTCTCATAATTCACACGCCAGATATTCTGATGGCGTTAAAAGTCCAGTTGGCTTCCTCTACCCTTGAACTTCTTCAAATGGGCAAATAGTCAGTGAATTCTATTCAGTTAATTGCAAATTCTGAGAAATCTTAAAGGATGACAGAAGCAGGCAAGTCAAGGTTTGTTGGTATACCTGTAGAGAAAGAGATGTTTGTCTCACCTGGGCCTCTTGGTTCCTAAACTTAGCCACTCTAAATAAATCAGCTATGGCCACATTCACCCATGTAATTCTTGAAGATTTCTTGAGGCCACAAGGGCACAAAGGGGAAAGCTATTAAAAGACAGATACAAGTGGAATCTTTATTAAATTCTGTGAAAGGTACAAATAAGTTATTATTAATTGCACTTGGAGCCTTCATGGGTTGATAATTAAAATTTTCAAAAATTTAAATAGTTAATTAGGCCCCAAATCCTGAGTCAGACTAACCAAAATAGGAATCTCAGTAACTACTGGTATTCAAGTATTGGTGGTCAACAGTTCAAAATTTAACAATTAGTTATGTGATGCCTGAGAATATTTTTGAGAATTTCAGGTTTGATGGGAGGAAAGTGCCTTCACTATTTTACCACACCTGGCAAGAAAATGGTGTAAACTTCTATATATTTACCCTTGAAGTCCACGCCAATCTCGACAAATGCCAAAGAGCGAGGCTCTCTCTCTGGCTGACAGTGGTGGCTATAGAAGATTCCTTCTGTTTTTGCAAGTCTTACATCTTACATCTATGATGACACCGTGTGGCACACTTAGGGATTCGTATTATTTGAGAAATTACTTAACCACATGCACACTCGGAGGTCAAAGGAACACGTCTGAGTGACAAGGCAGTCTTTTCCTATTCCAGAAGATTCCTTAAAACACACACACGAACAAACAAAAAACCAAAACCAAAACCCAGAATGAAAATACAAAACCCCAGGAGATATTCCTATGGAGTTACTCCGATTTGGACCCACATGGCTTATCGGAAGAGTGCATCCCAGGTAAATTCAAGGTGGCTTTTTTCTCAGGGTCTGGAAGGGTGAGAGTTTCTGGAGCAGACTTTTTCCGGGGCCGGTCTTTGGGAACAGAGAGAAATTCCGGGGCGTCTGTGGACAGGGGAGTGGACGGAACGCTGGACGGGGCGCTGCGCACTGAGGAAGGCAGCAGGGGTATGCTGGAGATCGAAATCGCAGGTGGGAAAACGCCGATCTTCTTGTTGGTGGCTTCCTGAGTGGCTCGTTCGAATTCCCGGACTTCATCCATTGTCATGTCTTCAAAGGGAAAACAGAGGGAAGAGTGAGCAGTTATTTAGGAGAGATCCAAACGGATCTGCCGGTGCATTCGTTTTTAAAGAAACTACGGGGACCTTGAAATGAAGGGGACATTTAGTAATTCCTTCCTACTGAGGCATGCTCCTGAAGACAGAATACCCACCCAAGACTTTCCAAAAAATGCTCTTCATTGAGTATTTTAAGGATTCCAAATAAAGATTTAAAGAGGAGAGTGTACAACTAGACCTGGGGAGTATGTGTGTTTGTGTGTTGTTGTTGTTGGCATGGTGTGAGGTATATGGAACTGTAATCATTTATTTATTTATTTATTTTTTTGGAACTGTTATTAGACCTGGTCATCTCTTTCATAAAGAGAAGGTAATTAAAGCAATCCATGGCTCTGGAACGGTCAATATTTACATATTATTTCTGACTTTAAATCACAAATGCTAGCTTTGTAAGATAAATTCAGGTAAATCATCAGCATTTTTTAACATCCTACCTTCCTATTCAATAAATTACTTTTGGCATTCCGAGATTCTGTTGTTACCGGTTTCCTGACAGTACATTCATCCTGAAATTATTTAGATGCTATTTCTAAATTCAGACTTAAAAACATAACAACCCATATACTCTGATAATTATCCCAAAGCTGAGAAAATAAAACCACTTCTCAAGACAACTCAAAAGAAAACGAATAGAAAATGAAGAGAAGATCATTTAATGAGTGAGAATTTTTCAAGAGAAAAAAACATTATGTAGAACTCAACAAATAAATCAGTAATGCCTTTTAACAGGCATTGCCAGATGATGTAAGTTTTCCAAATATATAAAATGTCAAGTGAGAGAGTAAAAACATTTTCAAACTGTAAGTCTTTCCCTAGTATATTTGGTTAATCATATATACTTAACTACCTCTAGCACATAATATATTGAAAATATCCCCATCACAGGACAAGAATCTAGTTATGATTTCCTTCCCAAAGTCTAGGGCTTGCTACCTCCTAATTCTCAGAAACCGTATTATCATTGTTATTCTTAATTACTGTCACTGTGGCTGTTCCTAGTATCCTTTGCCACCTTTACTTACTGGGAGCAGAGAAAACCAGGCAACTGGCTTATTAGAATAAGCGGAGTTGGGCTAGCAATTTAGCTCAGAGGCTGAGTTCAATCTCTGGTAACCTCCCCCGCCAAAAAACAACAACAACAACAACAACAACAAAAACAGTAAGCGGAGTGAAGGCCTAGGGCTTGTCTTTGAGTAAAACTTGAACTCTGCTACCCATGGTTTTCCCACATCTCTTTTGGCCTCCAGAATCCCATTTTTTACTCTTTCTTGTCTTTTGCCATGTCCTTAGTAATTGAAACTTTCTGAATTGATACATGGGCTAAATTACCATGGAACAACCCAGCCCCTTTAGAAATATTAAGGACGGAATGAACATTCATGATATAGTATCAATCATTAGATTTCATAACATTGAGCGAATCAGAAACTTTTTTTGGGGTATTGGGAATTGAACTCTGGACCTTGGGCTTGCCATGGAGGTGTGGTGCCAGTGAGCTACATTCCTGGCTCCAGAATCTTTTTTTTTGTTTTTTTGAGACAGGGTCTCACTATGTAGTTGAGACTGACCTGGAGCAAACTCACTGTGTAGCCCAGGCTGGTCTCAAACTCACAGCGATCCTCCTGCCTCAGCCTTCCGAGGGCTGAGATTACAAGCGTGTGCCTCCATGCCCGGCTAGAATCATTTTTTTTTTAAATAAAATAAAATCCTTAACAGGATGTCCTTGTGAATAATCACTAAATGTCCTGAAGGGTAAAAGCCCCCCTACCAAAAGGAATTAAAAAATTGCAACTATGTTGACACAACGCAAAATACAGACCATATCAAGAAAATATGTATATATAAACTTACTACTTTTAGAAAATACTAGGACTATTAAGCTAAGAAATGAGATCAAATTTTATTTAATTAATGCATTTATCTGTGTGTGTGTTTTGTTTTTGTTTTTCTTTTGACACCGGGTCTGGCTCTATCATCCAGGCTGGCCTTGAAATCACTATGTAGCCCAGCTGGCCTTGAACTCACAAGTGGCAATTCTGCCTCAGCCTTCAGAGTTCTGGGATTACAGGTGTGTGCCACCAAGTTTGGCAAAGATCAAAAATTTTAAAAGATACATTTACTTTGAAGTCAAGTCAAGACTTTTAGAAAAGTTTTAGTGAAGAACTATCATTTTTTCATGTATTTTTTGTATAATAAACACACGATATGTTTTTGTATAATAAAATCTTTCTAAAGTGGCTGAATATGTTGCTGTGCTCCCTGCATCCAGCAGGGGGCAGAAACAATCAAAAGCACAGAATTTTAATTTTCCATTCCCTTCTGGGGTCTTTTGGACGTTCCCTTACAAAGGCTTTGAAACACCTCAACTGAAAATGAGACTGTTATTTCCGCATTGCTGTGTTCATGGATATTACTTTTGCATGCTTTCGATCTGATTTATTCCTGCCTAGGTTGATGACTTAAATTTCACTTAGCACCTATGCAATTTTTGTGAGACACAGCAGCCTCTTGTGTTTTTCATTATTGCAGAAGACTGGAAAAATAAATGATCCCCAATTTTGTGAAATCCAAAGAATAAGGGAACTGTTGCAAGCATCCAAAGTAACTGTGCCGCTTAACTTTTCAGAGGGTAAACATTTCTTGTGCTGAAGTCATGGGAACAACTATGACTTGCAGCCAGAGAATGCATGAGCTTTCCAGAGGGGGGCGGGGGACAAGCATTCTAGGGCATCTCCTTCGACGCAGTAAACTGATTTAATAATAATAGAAAATAGTAATAAAAACTGAAAGCCAAAGCAAAGGTCCTTAAAGCTGTGGACTTTAAGAACTGAGAATGAGAAAAGCACCAGGCTCAGTGCCCTTTGACGTGCGGCCTTTTCTCCTTCCTGGTGGCTTCCTTCGTCATATTTATAGTGAGCAGCTTTCCAAAGCAGTGGAGGGGGAAACTGGTGTCTAACATTCTTAAAAGAAAAGGTAACTGAAAGTGATGGAAATTCAAGAACAGTTTGCTTAAGGAACACTTCTATGTTTAGAACAGGGAGAGAGGAGGGGCAGTCTCATCACAATAGATTGTGCAGAAAGGAAACCCTTCTGGAAGGTCTGGCCCCAGCAGTTTCCTGAAGAGCCAATCCTGGCACACAACCCTGGTAGGCAGGAGCTGGGGCCACTCAGGCAGTCACCTGCATCCAAGGACAGAGCATGAGCCTTGCAGGGTGCATTCCAAGACATGCTCTAGAAACACAACTAAAACTTCCCCACGTGCAGCCAGGTCTTCACAATACCAGTCCCTTTCAGTTTTCTATAACCACATTCTTGATTCTGACAAAAGCCTAATAAATATTATCCTTTGTTTTGTTTTGTTTTGTTTTGAGACAGGGTCTCACTATGTAGTTGAGACTGACCTGGAACTTACTGTGTAGCCCAGGCTAGACTCAAACTCACAGCAATCCTCCTGCCTCAGCCTCCTGAGCGCTGGGATTACAGGTGTGTGTCACCACACCCAGCCCTAATATGCATTATTCTGGGGTCTGGGTTCACAGACTTGAGAACTCAAGCTGGAACCCAAAGTGATCACAGCTCTGGCTGAAGGTATATAAGATTTGGTGATTTGCATTTTTCATTTGTTAACTAACTATATTTCCTCTTCATTAGCATGAATGAAAGTTTGTTTGTTTAATGTTACTGGGGATTGAACCCAGGGCGTTTGCACTTGAGCTACATCCCCAGCCCTTTGGTTTTTTTGTTTTTAATTTTGAGACAGGTGCTCATAAAGTCACTAAGTTGCCCAGGCTGGGCTCAAACCTGCAATCTTCCTACTTTGGTCTTCCCAGACTGCTGGGATCACAGATGTGCACCACCACACCCAGTGAGGTTAGTATATTTAAAATGTTGGCATGAGCTGCACAGTCAGCTCTCAGTTTCCATTGTGTGACTAAACCACTGGAGGGTCTGAGGCTTTTGCTAAGTCCCAGGCCAGATCCACCCCGTAGCCCAACCACCTCCCCAGCTCATCAACCCTTGCCTGCTCAGCGTGTGTGTGTGCACAGACTGCCACACTATCGAGATTACCCTAAGAAAAAAGAACTGATTGGGTAAAACAGCTCCACAGAACCCTAGAAAACATTTCAAAGCACATATAAAGAAACTTAAAATAGCAGATGAGCCGGAAGCCCTCCTCTGAATGAATAAGTGAGTGTTAACTTTATGTTTTGAAAAGTTACTGACATGTTTTTCTAGTTTACATACGATACCCATTTTCACTACTGTGCTCTTTTATGGTTTGTGCAGGCCATTTTACTAGTACCAAAAAATGTTTCCACTTTCCACGTTCTCAGCATTATGACCCATGAAAACCCCCACATCAAGCAGTTTTAAAGAATAGAAATATCTAGACAAGAGAGGTGATGCTGCCCACTTTGAATGCAGCTCAGCGTCTTCACCAACAGCTTCTGGGAGATGATGTTTTTGGAGAAGGCTGGGGAGGGAGTGTTTGCATATTTCAAAGATCAGTTTCCGTGTTTCTTTTGTACAGGGTGGGCAACATGTTTTAAAAATTCTACATACACTTGTTTGGGCATGGCTCGCTATGTCATCCACAGTGGAGGAATGCTGATTGCAAACTTTTATGTTGGTTTGTTCATGCATGTTTTTCTCGTATTCCCGAACATCATCCATTGTCATATCTGAAAGAGGTTAAGATGTTGGCAACTTCTGTTATTAAACGCAAACTTTCACGGGGAGACTTTAGGGAAAGATGGTAGCTTAGCAGTAGCCAAGGAGGTTTAAAAAAGCAGGGCACTGACTAACTTTATGAAGAGTGAGTCATAAAGTTAGCTAAAACAGCCAAAGGGGAGTGAGGGCGAGGAATTTAAGTCAAAAGAGACTCAGAACACAGAAGAGTGGCAATTAATTATTTAGGGGTCATTCGTAAAG